AAAGGGGAACACTCATTCACTGCTGGTGGGGTTGCAAACTGGTTAAGCCCCTATGGAAGGCAGTGTGGAGGACTATTAGAAAACTACAAATGAACCTACCATTTTACCCAGTTATACCACTCCTTGGCATATACACAAAGAACTCGTCCTATTGCAGAGACAGTTGTACATCCATGTTTGTTGCTGCTCTTTTCACAATAGCTAAGAGATGGAAGCAACTTGGGTTCCCTCAATTGATGAGTGGATAATGAAAATGTGGTTCATATATACGATGGAGTTTTACTCAGAGTAAAGAAAGATGAAATCATGAAATTTGCAGGTAAATGGATGGAACTAGAAACTGTTATACTAAGTGAAGTAACACAATCTCAGAAAAAAAATCGACATATGTTCTCCCTCATATGTGGATCCTAGGATCAGACGCTGATAAATAAGTATGCAAACAGACATAACTGCAGGAACCAGGACAAGGGTAAGGAAACAGTGAGGTAAAGGAAAAGAAATAACCTGAAGGAGAAGAATAGTAGGTAACAGGCCTTAATAAGGGAGATATGGTTAAAAATTGGGTTAGTCTAAGGGAAGGGGGAGGGAAGGGTTTATGAGGAACCCAGGGGATAAGGAGAGAGAAGAAGCTCAACAGAGGTAGGATCATAGGAGCAAGGGTATTAGTAAGGAAGAAAGGGGGGTAGTGGGGGCACCTTAAGTGGGAAAACCATGATAGAGGGGTAAGACAATACAAGAGTGAAACAATGCCTAGGTAGTCATGAAAACAAGAGGGAACCATATTATTCTTGCAATCTACGAACTAATTATACATAACAGACCAAGAAAAATATCTCTAGATATGGTTCATTCGAGACCAACTGGTCATTACCCAAGACTTATCTGCAAGACACACAGTAATTAAAAATGCCAGAATGGTGGAACTAACCTTCTTGGATGTTTAACAGACATACCTTGAGATCTATACTAATTGGGTCAGAGGGACACAAAGGACACTTTTTGCTCCTTGCCCTCCTAGGTCGATTAGTTCCCA